AATAAATAATATGTGTGTGTTTTTAATAGCTTTTCTAGAAATCCAATTTTTTCTTGTAAATGAATATTAATTTAAAATAACTTGAAATTAACTTGGTCTGAAAGTTATTTTGATTATAGAAATGTATATTGATTTCTAATAAATGATGATAAATAAAATAATAATAAAACATAGATAATTCATAGTGTGAAAATTTTATACATAATAACATATTTTATTGAATATTTATATGGAATCATTTGATGTTATGATTGTCTCTTATATTGAAAAAAAACAACATCAATAATAAAATAACCAATCAACACTGATTCGAATAAATTAACTTCTGATAATTTTCATTTCCTTTATCTCTATATGATTTTTTTGATAACATGTTAAGTAATTTTGTATAAGATACCCAATATTTAAGGTTATATAATGTGCAATCATAGTCAAAACCTGATACAAATATAATTTAAAATTTGCTTTGTTTTGCTTATGCTCATATGCAAAATTTACAATGTAACATAATGTCATGAAATTTAACTTATAAACATAATTGAGTTAAACATATTGTAGCACGACGTGGTATCAGTATTCCTTCGGAAACCATTTAGTTTACACTAAAAATTTCCCAAAGTAAACCACTCCGCGTTCGTTCCCACGAAGATCTACATTTTTTCCCCTTTAAGACAATAACACCAACACCTAATTTGACGTCGTCTCTCACTTCCGGACTGGTTTGCAGTTAGTAACCTGGCTTTAATCCTAGCATCAGAAAGTGACAGACTCTATGAAGGAATCCGGTCTACAAACAACGCTCGTGTCCTGAAGACTACCAACCTATGTTGCAGTAAGTCTTCCATCCCCTCTAGGCTCCTCCAGACGATGGAAACCGTCAACACTCTACGCCTGACCCTTCTCCACTCACTCCGGGCACTCACCAGATTCTCATACTGTTCAACACTCTTCCCGACTATCTACTCAAGACAACAGTCCCTGGGCTTGTTTCGACAACCGTCCACAGATAAGAGCTATGTGTATGTTCTCAATTGAACAACTCAAAACGGAGTACAAAAAGAGGCCATCGCCTTGAGAAAAACCGAGGTTTAAATACTATCTCCCACAAGTGACCAACTAAAAGCCCGTCAATTCCGGATCGGTGGCTGACTCTTATTTCTAGTGGCCGCCGCTAACTTTCCGGATTAGCAGCCGGGTGCTCATAAGCCCCATCGTTAATCGCTGCCATACTATTCGGGAGCTAACATACTCCTAGAATTACTCGAACCGTGAGCTCTGCCGGACATCATGGAAACTCTGTAGGAGCCTGCTCATCTGGCCACTTGACAAGTTTCTGCAGTCTCCCTCTCTCCCTCTTTCCATCGATCCTTACGCGCGGCAGTGTTGTTTTCTCTTTCCTCTTCCCGTCAGCGATCACGACGACTGTTGTCAGCATTGCGTTCCAATGATATGAATCTCCACTAATCCCGCTTCCTCTCTGCGTCTCTAGTCACATCCCGCCCTCCGTCACGACCGCCATCTCTACCGACATCTCGTCCTCCATCCCCACGGGCAACACCATCACGCCGCCATCGCTCCTTTATAAGAGCTTCACTAGTGAGCCCACCATGACTTGGGGTCCCCGGTGTCTGCGGGGGTTCCATGGTGACAATGGGTGGTTTGCTTTCTGTAAGCTTGGAAAAGAGCCACTGCGGCGACAGGGGTATGATATTTTCAGAAGCGGCAATATCTGCACCCACTTTGAAATCAGAATCAACTCCAAGTAACACCTTAGATGACTCCAGTATTCCGCTACCTTCGTCGCGTAGCTCCCAAGACTCGAGCCGAAGAGGCGTACCGCCACCACTCTCCCTCATTGCTTCACCTTTACTTTCCGTCATTGTGCTCAAAGCGCTTTAACCCTAAAAAACCAAATAAAAAATATAAGCTTCTGCACTTTCGTATCCTCGCGCTCTTCCGCCCAGGTTCCTCTCGGCCTCTGCGCCTGCGCATGCACACGAAGAGAAAATTGCAGAACCGCGAATTGCAGACGACGAGCCAGCTCAAAGAGCCAGCAGCCACAAGACCAGGACTAGAGTCTTCTATTCACTCCCCACCCGTCCTCTGCCCTCCTCCTTTGTCTACCCGTTTTTCCCCGCGGCCAGAGCCTTCGTTTTCTCCATACCTTCAATTACCATCGCCTAACCTCTTAAACCCTCACCTACTCTCAAAGCGAAAACAAAGCCTTCTCTTCTCGCTCGTTCCAGCCCTCCTCCTCCCCTATAACGCACCAGTCATTTCTTCTTCGCCGCACCTTTCTTCCCCGACAAATCTACCCGCGTACTGAACCTAGTGCACTGCTACCCATTCAAGAACCACTCCATCTCCTCCACCCTCCACCGATTTGACAACATTGTATAGTCTTCAAGATCGTGCTTGTCTTCCAACACCAAATTCAAATCCACTCCTTATGAGATCACCGAACAGCCCTAATGCAATCCTTATATCGTCGTGCAAAAGGTCGTGTACATCCCTCTGTGGGAACTTGTGCTGCTTCCTGCTACTCAATCCGTGCCTCCCCTAATTCATTCCTTTGTTTCGACTTTCCGACCTTCTTATCTTGTAGTTATTACTTTCTAACCTACAAACTTACTGTAGCTATAAAAGAAAACTTCATTTTTTTTATTTTTTTTTTGCCAGAAATACTTGTTTGGCCGGTTACCAGTGAAATTCACTTTCCACACATATCAACAAGATTGATTTATTGTTGATCTTGATTTGCTTAATCATTTATTAAATGCAATATGTATGAACAAATGAAAGCTTCCATTAATGTGTTTCGAATCATTTAATATCACTGAAAAGCTAGTTGTAACACACAATGATTATCATAGTATATACTATTAAAAACATGAATTTATACTATATCATTCATAATTTCATGTAACCAAATTGTCTATTTTGCTGCTTCTACTACTATTTTAGACTTAATTTTTCTACTTAATCAAACAATGCACTTTTATAGTTCAACTTATGCAACTATCTTCAAGTGTAAATATAAATCTTTTTGAAAAAAATTTTGCTTCAAAATTCTATGCAATTCAAAATCTTGATAGTCAATAACTGATTTTACATCGTTTAATTTTGCATAAAATACAAGAAAGTGCCATGTGTAAGCAATTTTTTGCATTGCTTACTGATGTATTTTTATTCATTTGATATATATTTTGATTTCTTGTTCATAAAAAGAGAAATGAGATTAAGTATTAATTGAGATAAGCATGACATTCATCCAAAATATTATAAATGAAAGCTATAAAACTTCAAAAAATAATTTCACTTACAAACAAGGATCATACATGTTTATTATGAATACTTTTGATCTCATAAGATTGTTTTTTCTTTTGTGAAATGGCTTGCTTTGATCTATACAATTTGTTTTAAAAACTACAAACTTCATATTCTTGGATGGCTTATGAAAATAGCCTCATCTAGAATTAACACAGAATAAAGTAGAAACACATTTGACGTAGTATAAGAACTAACAAAATCACAAGTATACAAAAGAAGCAAATAGTATAGTACTAAACAAATGGGGCAATCATTCTCATTGTATACCATAACTTATTCTTATATGATTTCAGATGGGGACTTGAGACAGTTATCGATGGAAATGGGGAAGATTTATATTTGGATTTTTAATCTTACATATGAGTTGCATTTGCAGACAACTAATATTTGAAGGTTATGTCTAATCAGTCCAAACGCTAATGTATTTTCTGGACTCACAAACCTCAACAACATTTATATATAGACTATTGTTGCCAACTCTCCAATCACATCAACTAATATTTGAAGGTTATGTCTAATCAGTCCAAACGCTAATGTATTTTCTGGACTCACAAACCTCAACAACATTTATATATAGACTATTGTTGCCAACTCTCCAATCACATCGACAGTCGTTTTGTTTGCTTTCATAACATTCCACTCCCTACTTTGACGATGCGCATTTAGCTCTTTGATGTTGGCTAGAATAGGGCTGAAGTGCTCCTTTTATGCAATTTTTTGCTTGCACAAAAAATCCCTTAGCTTGATTGGCGATATCGAAAGCGAAATGCTAGACTTTATTGTTGTCCATACTCTGTTCATATTGTGCTAGTATGCATGATTACATGCTATTTTGTCAACAAAGATCGAAGTACCATGATATGTACATGGGATGTGTCACTAGATAGCGGATCCTTTGACCAAGGAATTTTCCCTATCGGTACTCTATATGTGGTTTACTTTTTTTGGTCTTTTCTAATTTATCTGTGGTACTCGTAGGTATAATAAAATATAGACTCAAACTTCCATGAGAAATTCGTTCGGTACATCTCGTGGCATTCTTCTGTAGTAGAAGTGGATGTGAGACATGTGGTTTTCATTCGACTGTTGATTGAATCGGGCTCTATGGATTCGATCGAGCAAAAATCTCCATTTTTAATAGTTCCTACTCTACAAGGGATATTATTCACATCGTTTGGAGCATGTGGCTGTCCTGTGGACGGGCTATTGCAGTGCAGAAGCCTTACGTCGCTTCTGTAACTAGTCGGGGTTAATTTTAGCAGCAACACACCAGTTTATCTACTCGTGAGAACTTTTCTAGGATTACTTAATTCGTTTAATCTCGAAGCTCGATGCTGTGCTTCAAATGTCAAACATTTCTGTTCGTCCGACGTCGTGACGTGGGCCGCCCAGATCCCGAATGAATCGACTAAAGACTGCCGATACTAGTGCTGCAAAGCAAGCTTTTTTTGGGTGGAAGGAAATTAAACTCGCTGTTCAAATCGCACGCTCCCATGACGCAGGTTTAAAGTTCAGAGTTTCTTGTAGAGCATTCTGGCGCCGGAGACCTTGGGCTGCCTCAAATGCACTTTTTACAGTGGGGAGGTTTGGGGGCTTGGGGCAGAGAACACAAGCTACCCCACCCCACCCACACAGGTAGGGTTTGAGTGCAACCAAGTTCACATTATATGCAAGAGGGGTGTCGCGACCGTGATGGGCGCTGATGAAGTCGTGGTGTTTCTGTATAGCATTTTATCCTTGTTATGATGAAACTGTTGCGGTATACGTCCCTGGACAGGTGCATGGTGATTCGTGCATCAAGGATATACACTTTCCGTGTCTATACGGCTCGAATCGCTGCCTTTCACAGGCTATTTGCTTTTTTCCTTCCGTTACGACTAGGTGGTGAAATTCCTCGATTTTGCATAATGATTCCTGGATTTTTCGCGATCGATGCTGTGCGTTCGATGTCCCTGCTTTTGGCATTTGTGGGCGATGTTAGGTGAATTGCTGATTCTCGTAGCAAATCTATCCATGGTCACTTGCCGAGCGTGGCATGGTCGTTTTCGGCTGGGGCAATGTCAGATTTTGTGTTGGTTAAGATGTGGATGCATGATTGCTCCGCGGCTGCTAGGGATTTGGGTGCGCTGACTTGATTTTCACCAATACCGTGGGCTGTACAGACCATCTGTAAGCTCAGGTAGAGTCTTCAAATCAACACCACTGCCTGTTTTGGTTACCGCTCCTGGGTTTGAAACCGGATGAACAATCTTGGGGCAAACATTCCAGTCTGCAGTATGCTGTATGCTGGTTTGATCAGCAAGCAAACGAGCTGTTGCTTTGTAGGATATGCTCTGTCTGCATGCCCAATAGTCGTTGTTCTTTTACTACCTGAACAAGATTTGGTCTGGAGGTGTTTGTAATTTTGGCGTTCTCTCACCCGGGTCCCTTCTTCTCGCAGTGCGGTAGAACAGATCTGATATTTTACTCATCAACGCGAGGCGCTAGGGTACGACTGGATTGTACATCTATTCTGCCTATGCTCAAAGAAGGCCATGGCGCCAGGCCGGAAGAAAGGAGGAGGAGCAACGAAGGCCGCCGCTGTGAAAAGGGAATGGAATGTAGGAGAATTAGTTCTTGCGAAAGTTAAAGGATACCCTCCTTGGCCTGCTCAGGTGCGTTGAATTCCCCCAGTCGCATTATCTAGCAGTCAGGGGGCGAAATCCCCTGAAACAACTCTCTAACACCCAAGATACAAGAAACTCACCAATCACTGTCGCTGACACCCTTGCCTTGATTGGAACATTGATGGAGTCGAATAGGTCAGGTTTTTGTGTAGGCGCATGGCCTTTTTTTCCCACTGTGAAGGGTTTATTCTCAACAGTAGGACATCATTTTTCACTTCAAATCCTTCTAAATTCGCCCGAAACAACAGTTTTCATATTTAACAATTGCTTCCTTGTTTACGCTGTATGTAACCTTGCTGTTTGTGTTTACATTACATTTTCTCCTCACGTTTACTTCATTTGGTATCAACTTGTACTTTCTTCGGTCATTATTTTAAATATATTGTTACCGGGAGTTTTCTTGCAGTAATTCAATAGTTTTTTTAACTATTCTGCATCTCCCTGCGTATTTCTTACTGGAATGCGTATCTCGATATCAGCATTTTGTTCCTTCATCTTTGGACCAACTGAACTTTACCGAAGCTTATCCATTGGGGAATGTGTTTTAGAAGTAAAGTTTCGAGTTTCAGTTGTATTGGGTTTATATTCAATCTTTGTCCAATTTGTACCTCAGCTGGGTTCCAAATATACCTCTTAAGATTTTACTCTGTGTCTTTTTCAGATAAGCAAGGCCGAAGATAATGGCTGGCCTCCAAACCCGAACAAGGTTTTTGTGTGCTTTTTTGGCACTAAGCAAGTGTAAGTTCCTCCCAGCGTCTGGATCGCGCTGCAGAAACCTCTTACTAGTTGCAGAATGAGTATGTACCAAAATGTGGAAATTATCTTTGTGCTAAGATTGCTTGCATCTACTCTTTTTTTTTCTTCATCTCAGCCACTTCTCTTGGATTGTAGATAGTCATACCGGGCTCAACAGAGTTTTTATGCAGACTCCCGTTTGTTTCTCCACCTTTTCTTGTTTGAACCGAGACCCTACAACATCTGAATGGCATATCACTTAACCTACTGTGACGGTCCGGTACCACAGCTACTCCTGTAGTATGTTTTTATTTCACACCGTCATGTATTTTATTCCATACTGGAAACCTTTATCTATCTGGACAATATTTGGAACTTACCGTTGTTTACACGCTTTACCTTCTGCGATACCTTTTGATTGTACGTACCGTTTTCCAACGTACGTATGTTTGTTTTAAGAGATGCGTGCTCTGATATGATGATAAAGGTGCTGCTGTGACTTGTGTTTGGTCTGAGAGTCGGTTTACCAGTCTCAGCCACTCTTGGGAATAACCTAGAAACTCCTTAGTAAACTCATTCATTCTACACTACAACATTGAAATCTCTCCTACTTATATCCCTCCCTCGATTCCATATTCCTCCCTTCTCCGACTTCTGTTTTATCTGCGTGTTTGCAGTTATTTGTTTCTATCAATTGCTAACGTTTTTCGGCTCTTCGGTCTTTGTCTTCATGTTTCTACTCATTCGTTATCACTCAGCTGGCACCCTTGAGAGGTACCACTTCGGTTCGAGATGCTTTTGGTCACCTTAGATTGTTTGGCCCCTGTGGCTTATCATGCATGTCAATGTCACGATAATAAATTTACTGTCATCTACCTCTGCACATTGATTAGGAGGATACATTGACGACTTCCCGATCGTTTGCGAGATCATATTCTTTCCTTAGAATAAACTGTGCTTTTTCCATACCCCTTTTTAACTTATGGAAAATTAAATAAATTACATGCGTAATTGGAGCCTGTTACTTCACTCACTTACATCCCTGCAACGAATGGGTTTGTTTTCAAAGTACTGCGCACCGACTGTTCTTACTCTTTGGTCAAGGAATCAGCTTACTGGATTATGATGATTTTGATCACGTTTGCTTTCACCATATTTTAGAAGGAAAAAGTGAGTTATAGACTTTGTTCGTTTGCAGATTCGCGACGTTTACTACGACTCCATGTTTAGTAGTTTGCAAGCGCTTGGGGACTACGGTCTTCAGGTTATGACATTCAAATCCTATCGATTTTCATCCCGTGTGTAACTGTGGAAGCGAATCACAAATTTAGCCTCTCCCTGGTCACCATTTGTTGTGAACCCGCTGTCTTCAAAGCATTATTTTAGGGGTTTTGCGCATATGTGATAGTATTATTGGTCTCAGCTTGTTGTACCAGAAACTCTCTCGGATCGTCGAAAAATCGAAAGCTGCTGCTCTTTCGCTGTGTCAACTAACTCCATGGGTGCATGTGCAACTAAAATGTTTCTTGATTGACAACTGTAAGGGCGGAAAGAACCATATTTATTTGGAGAATCTCACCACAAGAGGCGTCTCCGATATGTTATCAATATACCCTCCTCTGCCCTTCCCATCGTCTTTTTCGTAGTGTGTTGCTGCTAGCTCTTCTCAGCCAGGGTGCGGGATCCATGGTCTTCAGGCTCTGAGAAGAATGCCTATGAACTAGAGTCTGAAAACTCATTCAAAGCCTGCTGACCTCAAGACCATAGTAGTCGATTCTTTGCATTGCTGACTATCAAGCTGTGCTGGAAGAACTGTTTTGATTTCTACTTGACTGCCTCTTCTTCGCTTAGAACTAACCATAGGTATTCCCGATGGGTACTAATTGCTGTGTCTTCTTTCACTATTGCGCACACGAAGTTGGCTTCAGAGAACATCACCGACAGACCGACAGCTTAGAGATAGTGTAGAAACGAACATTAGCTGGAAGATCTGTTCATAATCTTTTCGTACTCGAAAATCCTGACTTTTACACAATCATGTACGTATGAATGAGAGCTCTGGTGTGGCCTTGAATCCACTATTTTTTTCCGATGTAAGAATGGCCTATCAAGGCTAGGTCACATTGTTCAGTCAGTCTTAGGTTTGCTCATAGTATTATGTTTGCACGAGTGCTCAGATCTTTTCTAGACCAAGTGGAGGCAAGGTGGGGACATAGAGCTGTCGAATTGGTCACCAGGTTAGAGGTAGATGGTGAACCTCTTGCGAAAATAGTTAAAAGAATTTGGAAGTTGAAAATTTGTTCCCTCAAGTCTGCAATCTGATGTAACGTAAAGATTGTACGTGCTCCCACATACATTAGAGACTGCCTGTTGTGTCAGGAAACTAGACATGTAAGTCGTGTCGAAGTAAGTAGTAGCTGTTGCTGACGACTACCGTGTCCCTCTGTAATTGTTAAGAAGCCGTGACATTTTTGAGTGGCTCTTTTCTCCAGCGTTCTTTTACTCTCCAGACTGGCAAGAACATGGGTATATACCAAGTTCTTGGCCTTCGCTATGTGCCATGTGTGGAGTCTCTTGCAGCCTGGTCTGCCCGGTTACAAGTGACTCAGCACATGGGTTATTTGTTGAGCCTTTTTAGAACTCCTACCGTTGACAACACGCAGACTGTCGACATACACTTGCAGATAGATTCTTGAAAGTCTCACCCTACAGTCTGTGAAACATGGCAAAGTGAAGGAGAGAGTGTTCAGACACTCCTGCCTGAGCATTTTTTAAACTCTATCTATACATGGGTTCTGTACCAGGTTATTGGTCCTTACGCCCATCTCTTACAAATGTTCCAACGGAGATGTCATTTGTGTGAAATCGCTGTTTTACTTTACTGCCTTTGAGAGACTATCCAGCAGGTGAATCAACTGATTTTTGTCAAGTTATCGATGAAATGAAGAAACTGAGCTCAACAGATGATTACGTCTTGATGACTATGATTGAATTTTCCATCGTATCCAAACGGAACTTTGTAAGGAAAGTGTTTACATTTCTTTTTCCCATTTTTAGTGATAGGAATACTATCGAATTTTATCCTTGTAAAAGTCATGGCCGCATCGAAATTTTGGAGTTTCCAAATAGCCTGTAAATGGGGCGCTGGATTGTTCTTCCGAAGTGATATGACGAAAAGCTTGGACTTTTATTCGAATGAGAATCAACAGTTAATATCTTCAGAATGCCCGTCAACATACTTGACTGAGGCAACATTATGTTGAGAAGAACTTTCATTGTAATCATGACTTTAATTGTGAAAACTCGCTGTATACTGAAATATCACCACGAAGATGCCGGACCTGGTTCTCTAAAAAGTCTTATTTCTGAAGTATGTGTAACACGGTTGAGATTGCACAGTTGCTACGATTTACATACAGGAAAGATGTGAAGTACTTGTTTTGTGATCATCTGGTCACATGGTACTGATCACATCGATGTCAGTACGTCTTCATCGGCAGCTGTCCGTTTCCTTCTTTGATAGTTTCCGTCAGAGTTTTCCATCGGGCTCACTTGGTCTGACTCGACTTAGTCCGTCCTAACCTTCATGTACAAAATTTTACTAAGTAGCTGAAGATGTTCTCTTGTTTACAGGCGATTCTGTCATCACAGCGAAATTTCTTCATTTACGCCGAAAGAAAGGAGTACTTTGGAGAACAAACTCAATCAGAAGAACTGTCCTGTAGATCTGACAAGGGCAATCAGAGAAATTTGCGAATTGGATGACGATTTGAAAGCTGCTGCTAATTTGAAGTATTCTGGAGAAGAAGGTGGGCCTTCAGCGGTAGACAACGAAGAACGTCTTGAAGCAGAGATAGCATCCGATCAAGAAGAGAACGTAGATGCGTCAGAAATTGCAATGAACAAGAACAAGCGAGAAGAAGATGTTTCGGACGAGGCTACAAAAATAGAAGAGAAGTGTCTGCTCAACGAAGCTACGCTAGATGAGGTGATTCCTATCGCGGAGGACGACTCGAAATCTATTATTTCTATCAGCGAAGTTGGTGTCGAACAAAGTGTTGATAGACCAAGTGAAGCCGATAGAAGCTCTGTCGGAAACTCCGTCGAAAACACGTTTGTTGGTACCAAGGGGAAAGATCTGAACACAGTTCCAACACAATATTACAGAAAGAAGTCAAGGAAACCCGTGAAAGAAGAACCGAAGCCACAAGAGTCACAAGCTGTCGAGGAATCCAGGCCTCTCGAATCCACGCCTTTGCCGGATGTCGAGGAAACCCCGGAGAGCTCTAACGCAGGTGGTCTTCCGAGGAGGAAAGCCTTTGGGGACGCCCTTTTAAAGCTACAGCAGTCGGCCGAGAAGAAGCTTACGCAGTCAACTGGGGTAGAAACGAAGGATGAGGTTGGTGCGAAGTCGGCCGTTGCTACCAACCAAGTTTACCGGAAAAAGAAGAAAAGTAGTCAGCAAGGTTTTCAGAAAGTTCACGCAGGGGAACCAACAGCGGAGGTACCGAATGGGATTGAGGGTAGTACATCCCTTGATCTGCCTGCGATAGAGGTAGGAACTGATACAGTGGAGGGTGATGTCGGACTAGAATCTCCTTTAAATAAGAAAGCTAGAAAATTAGGGAAGAAGCAGTTCAAATCAGTTCCTCCCGCCATAGTAGACACGAAGAACAAACTTGAGGAGTCCCAGTTTGAACAAGTGGGTCCGCCAGTCTTACCTGATGAGAGTGTAAAGGCGCTCTTGCAGCTGGAATCATCGCATGGAGAGGGGGCCGGAACGCGAAACTCTCAGTCCAAGAGGAAGATCAAAACAGATGCGGGTAAAGCTTCTGTCCTGGAAGGAAGTGAAGGATCTGACTTCGAATTGGAAGAGAGAGCACAAGTTAAGGTTTCAGCAGGTGATAGTCAAGGGAAGAAGAGGGCATTCAGGGCTATTAAAGCGAGTTTGAAGTCTTCTAAGAAAGTGAAGGTGTCTGCCGGAACTAGTCCGAGTGACGTGAAAGTGTTCCAGAAGGTGAGCGAAGCAGTAGTGCAGGACGTCAAAATGAGTGACAGTGGTGACAGAGGAACTGGTTTACCACCGAAGATCGCGAAGTACAGAATCAGAAGCTGCCTGCCAGACGATGAAGCAGTTCTACCCCCTTCCAAACGCTGGCATCCTGCATTCGAAGCCAACAGTTCGTGTGAAACTGAGCCAGCACAAGTACGGCCTTCTTACCCTGCTGAGGAGAAGATGGAACAACTTGGAGGATCAACCACATCTGAGGATGACGATTCTCAAGAAGAAATACCAGTTGCAGGTTCTGAGTCAAGGCAGGTTAAAATGGATGGGAAAGTCTTTGAGAAACCTCAAAATTCTTCAGTGACATCGAAGAGAGGTGCAGGCATTACAGATCTCGCAAAGAGCTGTAGTTTGTCGAGGGCAGCTGACTTTACTGCAGATGTCTTAGACTCGTCTCCACTCAGCAAGCTTCCGCTTGGGGACTCTGAAGCTTTGGACTCACTGCGGAGAGAGAAAACAAGTGATTCGAAAGGATCAGGAAAGGGTAAAACCACCAATGTGGCTAATTCAAAAGTTGATATCAGTGAATCTGGGAAGGGACAACTGGAGAAATCACAAGTGAAAGCAGCGGATGTGAAGAAAGGTTCATCTCAGAAACCACAAGCCAAGGAGAAAAATCCTGCGAAGGTAGGAGATTCTCATAAATTGTTCTCTGAGAAGTCATCCATCAAGGGAAAATCTACCAAAGTGAAGAAAGGGAACGTCAGTCCTGCAAAGGAACCAGGTGTTGTGGGACTCGCTAATTCCAGCCCCGAACCCAAGAAGCTAGATGGGACTGTGGTTGCGGAAAAATTCAGTCAAGAAAGTACACTCAGGCAGTCGCTCGTGAGTCCCCAAAATACGACTCCGGGTAAAAATACAAGCGAGGCGGCACCAGAAAGAACGAAGGGAGTTTCAATCGTTCAATCGTCTGATGCGGGAAAGACAAATGGCTCAAATACAACGGCGAAGAGCGAGGGGTTCACATCGCCAGCAAAATTGCGCGCGGAGGTTCAAGATAATACACTTCGACAAGCGTAAGGACTCGTTGCATATTCTGGTGTCAAATATGTTGAATGATCATATCTACAGCTGGTTCTTTCTTTCACTGGATATATGAACACAACAATATATCATAGTCAAATGATAATTGTTGCTCCGATACATATGCCCTGGCCGATGTAATTTCTCTGGAACTTACTTTGTCTTTTACAAGATGCAATAATTGTCTGACCATGCTCTTCGAAAGGAACAGTCAGTCTAGCGAAAGAATCGTCACATCATACTTATCGAGTTCGGCTTACGATGATGTGGATGTTGTATATATCGGGTTTTTTATTAAAAAAATCAGATGGGTACTGTGTTCACAACGTTGGATTTCTTCAAGTTGGTGGAAGTTAGTTAAACAACCCGTAATGTATGTCAGCGTTTGAACATTCCATTCCAAGTGTAGTCGTTCAGGGAGAATGCTGATGTCACCTACAGTAACCTACAGTAACCAAGGAATTATCTCACCTTGTACCATATGTTTACCCAGAGTCGAAGCTGCTAAGGAGACCAAACAAAAGTTTCTTCAAGGAGAAGCAAATGCATCGTCCATGTCTCTAAAGTACCTGATTGCAGCAGCACAGGCAAAGAGACAAGCTCGACATATTCCTGCCGCTGGAGAACTAGGTGGAAGTCTTTCAGAAAAGGTGGCAGGTGCTTTAGTTTCAAGCCCTTCACCTACTCAGGGCCTAGGAAGTTCGAGGCTGACTTCACCACTGCCAAGTTCAAATGTGCCTTCTTCTCTGGATGTACCTAAATCATACGCAGATTTCACATCGCCTCCTGGGACCAAGAGTGACAACTCTCGTTGGAAGAGCAATGGCAAAGATAAAAGCAATGCACTTTCGAGAGAAGGTTATAGTGCTGAATCCACCGAGGGAGCAGTTGCGAGAGACACATTCACAGGGATGCTTGAAACCCTCTCTCGAACGAAAGAAAGTATTGGACGAGCATCACATCATGCCTTGGAGTGTGCAAAATATGGGATTGCCGAACAGGTGAGAGCGTATTGCTAACTTGTATTTTTGTGTAGGGATTTAGTGGGTTGTACAAATGTTTGATGGTCAGCAGGTTCTGATAATGGACATTTTTAAACTTTTTTGCTTTAAGCAGTAATAAGTGATGTGAAGAATTTATTACTTACTGAATAATACTCACTCTACACATGTAGGCTTGATGGGCTTAGGTTAACTGAGATTCTGATCTTCCTCCCTTTTAGAATAATGGTGGAATTCTCAGGCTCTCATCTCGGTGCATACTCATGTCTATTCTCTTGTGCCATGATGCTTTTCATGTACTTTTCTTCGTCTCCATCTTATCAGACAACTAGATCTGATATAATATTTTCTATCTCAGCTTTATTATCTCAAGATGACATAGATCTACAGCGCCCCAAGCTTTGCTCCCAATGACATTTTCTCATCGTCCATGGTAGCCTAAGATTGCATCCGGGTTGCCCAACAGAAGTTCTACCTCTTACGACCAAAAAAATATCCACCTTGATACACAATAATTCCTGCAAGTTGTGTGATGCCATAAGACTGTGGTGCTGATGGTTTCTGTAATGGATTGCTTAATCAGTACAATTTTGTTTAATTTTCGTCTATATTACAGGTCGATTCCAGCATGCACTGATACTCCATTGTCCCGCATAGTTTCTGGCCCCTATTCCGTTTTCAGAACACATATGATTGTTTTATTTTCAATACCCAGATTTACAGCCTTATTATCTCATTGCCATGAATTAATACCGAATGACTTATCAAGGAAAATGCATCCTCAGCTTATCGCTGATATGGATCACAATTTGTACAGATTGTGGAGATTATTGCCGATAGGCTTGAGAAGGAACCAAGTTATCATCGACGAGTGGACCTTTTCTTTTTAGTGGATTCTATCACTCAATGCTCAAGCAACCACAAAGGTAATTTATGAGATCCAACCATGCAATGTTTTAAATTATGTAAGAATTATTGTGTTTTTAATTCGGCACATTTTACATCAAAGATATTGTTTGTTTCTATGGACACACAACACAACACAACACAACTTAACTTGTAATCGATGCTCTTTGTATATACTTAAGCATGGTTTGCATGTTCTAGAAGGGTCTTCTGCGGGTATATATTGATGGACTCTGCCGGATTATGTTGATATATCAGGTGTTACAGGCGCAGCGTATCCCTCAATCGTCCAAGTTGCATTGCCCCGTTTACTTAGTGCTGCAGCTCCTCCAGGAAGCATTGCTAGAGAAAATCGCAAACAATGTCTGAAGGTATGTAGGAAAACTTTCAAACTTGTATTCTAGTACTTGTAATACGACGACTCTCTTAATAATATGCATAAGCAGCTTTCTGGACAGACACTGAAATGAAGAAACTTTGTTTTCAGAAGAAATGAGGATTATTATGTTTTCTTTGTAAAAGCACTTGCCATGATCGTTTTCAATTCGTCATAATGTTGTTTTGATTTTTTCTTCATCTGCAAGTAGGTTTTGAGACTATGGTTGGACCGAGACATCCTACCGTCGCCAGTGTTGCGTCACTTTATGAGTGAGATTGAGTCTCACAATGATGATAAGTTGTCCGGGGGCAATGCACGACGACCTTTTCGTTCGGAACGGGCAGTTGATGATCCATTGAGAGAAATGGATGGAATGTTTGTTGATGAATATGGAAGGTGATACTCTGTGAATGGCTTTCATTTGGATTGTGTAACCATGGATAATTGTAGGAAATACATGAAGAGTAAGATGTGATGAAAATGATTTCCGCGAAGAGAGAAAATTAGGTCTTTTGGATTTTATCAAGAGTCAATAATATGGTGACTGATTGCTTTTTCTATGTGATGGTTTGCAGCAACGCAAGTTTTGCTTTGCCGGGTTTGCTCATACCAAGAATGTTTGAAGATGATGAGGAAGGAGATGATGGAAGAAAATCGGACAATGCGGATGAAACCATACACATTCAATTGAATGTGCACGAGGATACTGAGAAGAGTCCGAAAGCTCAAGATCGTGAAGACTTGGACAAACATCGACATGTTTTGGAAGATGTTGATGGTGAATTGGAAATGGAAGATGTCTCTCCTTCTTCAGAGAACGAAAAGCCAAAGAAGGAACAGTTGGCGAAGACAAGTGCATCTACGGTGCATGAAGCTGAAACTCCTCTGAACACAAACGCAAGCGAGGGTCCTGCGGCCGGAAGTCAACCACCTCTTCCTCAAGGACCGCCCCCTCCACCATCTGGGCCTCCACCTTCACCCCCTCCGTTGCCAGCCTCTCCTCCTCCTTCCCCTCCTCCCCCGCCTCCACCAGCCTCTCCTCGGCTGCCTGTGGATGTTTCTTCTCCTGCTGTTCAAGGCCCTACTAATCCAATGCACAATACTAGGCTGGGAGGCCAACACCCTCCAGTACGACATCATGTTGTTCAAAGTGGTCATCCTCTCAGTGTCTCGTCTGCGTTTACTTCCTCCACAGTCTATCCGATCCAAGCACCTCCTGGATCAAATGGACCCAAACCATCAGGGTCCCAAGGTTATCCCAAGCCGTCAGGGTCTCAAGGTTCTATGCATATCCCATTGGGGTATAATGCACCAAATCCGTCTGTTCATCTCCATCTCGGGCCAAATACCCACCTTTCTCAACCACCTCCAAATCCACAACCAAGGAGTACTCCCCATGGGCAACAAGTTGCAGGTCACAGCGTTACAACAAGTGCATCTCAATCTCAAAACCCCTTACAGCACATGCCTCCAAATGTTGCCCCTCCATCCTCATCCCATCTTCAACCTAACATTCTTCATTCTACACCCTTGCCTCCAATTTCATCCATTCCTCAAGTTCCACATCATGTTCATCCCTTGCCACATGGTACTCCTGGATTTGGACAGAGATCGTACATGCAGCCTCCTAAACCTCTTCCGACCCCTTATCAAATGGGTATGCGAGAGGAGATCGGCTCACATCGTCAAACCCATACCCCAGATTCTTCTGCAGCATTGCTTGGAGAGCAAGAAAAATTATCTCCTCATATCCGGAGAGTAATGCAGGAAGAACAACTACGCAAGAGGCAGAAGGACTCTATTTCTGAGAGAACGGTGGAGTCCAATCTTGGGCACGTAGAAGGACGGCAATTACCGAGTGGAGTAGGGCCCGTAGAAGGTTGGTATCTATCACTTTCAATTCCAAATACTATCTTCACTTATAAAACTATGTGCTAGAAACGATGTTCTTGCCATTGCGGTTTCATCGTACCTCGAATCAGTTGAAACATTGGAATTTACTTGTCTTTTGTGAATGAAAGTAGGAGGTATGATACTTACGGACAACATTGTTCTGTAACGCAAGTAAAGTCATGCTTGTTTGCCGTGGGTGGCTATATCGGGATGATGTGGAAGAGATACTTCTCCTCGTCTGAAATTTAGTTCGTATCCTAAACGAAGAGATTTTGATATCTCTTGGTTGTTTTATGACGAGAGATGGCCATGTCAAAGTTCTCTCTGGTATTTAATATCTTGTGATCTTTCACACTGATTTTAGTTTTCTGTGTAACGCGTCTTGCAGGAGGACCTGGGAGCGGTGACAAACCAGGAGGAACTCAGTATATGCATGGTAACGCAAATTTTCTACCGCAGGATCAGATGTTTCGTATGAATGGAGCAATGATGCGTCCTCAACACTCAGCACCACCATTTTCTCCAAATATGGTGCCAATGCAGCACCAACAATTTCCGCCACCACAACCATTTCCGCCGCCTCCTTTCAGACATCCAGCAAATATGCAAGGGAATATGCCAGGGAACGTGGCAATGCTGGGACCACCACCACCACCTCTGCCTCCACCACCATACTCTTATGGTCCAGGAATTCCGGGAGCAATGCCACAGGTTCCAGGTAATGGACGAAAGCTCTGAAAACAAGGATATTGTCTTATTTTTAAGAAATGAACTATTCCAGCAGACCAAAACTTTGACCTAATGATCTCTAATGTATGTCATTTTAAAGTAGTAAATGTTTGGGAATGGAACTCTTTAGAGTAAATCCGCAGTCGACAAGTTTTCACCTTCACTAATTACACGTTGATAATTGCACTATTGCATTATCGGAGAATATGAATCCAGCACTTGGATTCATATGCTCCGTCAATAGATTCTACGCTTTCACATCCCTTGCTGGACACATTAATGTTCCTATTTACAGTTTTCTTCCGTCTGTTTTTATTCCGCTGTCTGCTGCATGTCTTTTGCTTCGACACCAAACACACAAATACCAAACACGACTGCTCTGCTGTTTCTCTCTTTGAAGTCATTCTTTATTATCTCGTGGATCTCAGGGTGAGCCATTTTACGAGAAGCTATTTCATATAAACTTCAAATTGCTCGGCAGATTTCATCACTGCTTGTTGATCTTGATTTTGTGTTCTTCGCAGTGCCACCATCACAACCTCCACATTTGATGAATTTCAGGCCTGGAGGTCCTGCTCCAAATCAATGGAGGCCTAGTTGATTCTGACATCAGTCAGACGTTGGAACTGCTTGTGCCAGTAATGATACCTCGAGAGCATATGGTAGATTGTAGTAAGGACTATTTTGTGACAACTGTGTTGAGATAACTAGGGGGAAGCTGGCTAAATCGACTGGTTGTCTACTGGAATATGGAGCTGAAGCCAAGGTGCCAATTCTTTTTTTATTAACACTGCATTAAGCACATGCAAAGTTTTACGGAGGAGGAAGTTGGTCAGGGAAAATAGCGCAATTGTTTGTGGTGCAAGAAGAAGATCACATGGCTGCTCATTAGTACAGGACTTGTTCTGTATGTCTTCAGGTGACAAGACGTAATTTGGATCAAAAGGCCCGCACCAATGATGGTGATGATCATTACCTTGTTGGGAACAAATTACTCTGAACCGCAAGTAAGTCATTCAGATACCTGCCAGAAACTCGTAGTCAGTGGACAAACAACACAAACCCGATTTTTGTACATAACGTATTTTTCTTTTATCTGCATCAAGCGGATGTATAAACATGCCACAACAATTTGGTTACTCCATGTTTTCCCCCGGGCAAGATCGAACGGTTTCGAATACATCTAGGTAAAGACTCATCGCAAATTCTTGTTTGTACTCAGTTTCAGTCGTCAACTAAATCGAAAAAGTACGGAGATTGTGCTCGTGGATGTGGTGAAGTTTCTGTGCCTTTTCTTATTATACATGCAGAAGATGGACAGGGCAGAATTGAAGGTCAATTACAAAATTATCCCGGTCGATTGCATGAGTTATTTTTTTCACTACTCGATTAGTGTGATCTCTGTTAAAAAGAACATGTTGTAAAGAACAGGTTGCTCGTCTTGAATCCGTCTGTTGTCTATGGGAAGGAATAGCAAAATTGGATTTTTGTGAAGTATTTGTTCACAAATACTGAACCGGATCATGCTTATTATACAGCTTTAGTTTTGTCAGCTTATGACATTGCACTATTTCACATTATGGAGCAACCTTGGCACAATTAGTTTTCTTTAGATCTATGTCACGATCATATAAAAGGTCAGGTTGATGCTCGAAATTCGTCTGCCTGGTGAGGATCTTTGCATGTGGTTTGCGCAACATTGTCCTTGTTGTTTTGAATGGTACGCCCCCTTCCGTTTTGTGCCAATGAGAGTGGTCAACCTCAAGATAGATATAATCACTTCCACTTTCGTAACTTCCTTTGAGTTACGACATTGGATCGTATTATTACAAGTTACCGTCATTGCTCCATTCATGTGATTTATGGTTCTCTGTTTGATACTTGGACGTTATGTTGGTCGTGTCTCTAGGTCAGGAGCGTGTAACTGCTCACCCCCAGCGGAACTTTATATGGACTCACAAGTTGAGCGTACTCCCTACCTAAAAGCAATAGGTAGGTGCTCTTCGTTGTTGAGATATGGTGCTCTGGAAACACACGATTGGGAATAGCCTTGATGTGTGGAAGACGGGTGTCCACCGGAATGAGAGAAATTTCAATAAACACAAGGAAGAAGGTAACAACGCTCTGAAAGAAATATTTGAAACAAGCAATGTATGTTACTTCTCTGAAGAAATTGTACATTTATGAAAAGAGAGGACGAAAAAGAGATGTACGGTAAGTTTTGACAGTTTCATGAAAATTCTTTTTATTCTAACAAATGGACAAAATTAATTTGCACCAGGATATTGAAATTGAAGTCAAGCAACCAAATAGCTATGTGTATATTTTTTGGATGTTCTTTACTATGGAGTTCATTGCGTCCACCTTCAATCAGCTGAATGTATATTTTGCCGAGTAAACATATTCATTGATATTGGACAGAATAACGTTCATTTTTATTTCGTTTCAAATTCCCATTTGAATACTCGAAAGTTGACAATATCAAATTTTGTCACTTTCATACCACTGCCGGTATCTGCTACTGAAGTCGCAACATTCTCACAAATCGCATGTATCATCATTGCGGGCTGAGTCGAAATGACCATTGCCATCATCGTCTAGATTCTGAACATGATCATTATTTTCTATTTAGCAGTCGCGTCTATCTACAACTCGAGGAATATTGCCGAATACTTACGAGAAGGTGAAATCACTCTGCCTGGTTTGAACGTGTGACCGTCACTAGAACTTGAAATGTCACTAGAACTCGAATGAACGATACTGTGATTCACCCAAAGCGTCATTTCGTCAACTTCAAAACACTTGGGCGAACAAATCCATTTGATGCCGACCATCCACATTTTGTCTGCTAGGTAATCGGCCGTCTTTAGCAGGTGTTGCGCTTTCTTTGCCAAACGGTGACAAACCTCTGAGTGAAGGTTTTCTTCAAATTCTCTATGATTCGTTCCAGACCAAGGACATTTTCTACAAATTGTGAATCATGCCAGTTTCTGAGTGTAATTTTTCTCGGGCGGGCTCCAGTTGCGGTGAAGAAGTCAAACGAAGAACAAGACTTCCGAGTTGAACTAGTCCATTGAGTTTACGGTTGGCTAGAAGGGATTGTTCCAAAAGAAGAGAGGGCTCCAGTTGCTGTGAAGAAGTCAAAGGAAGAACAAGACTTCCAAGTTGAACTAGTCCATTGAGCTTACGGTTGGCTAGAAGCGATTGTTCCAAAAGCAGAGAGTACGGTGACATGATTCCAATCAGTCTACAATGGAGGCAATATCTAGTGCATTGTAATGGTTAGGTGTCACAAAAAAGGTCAAAAGTGTCCAGCCTAGCATCTTCACTGTCTTCAATGGAGTGAATTGACGTAAGTCAAATTAAGTACAAGCCGGTAGTGTGAGATAATACAGCGCATGTGCCACTCAGTTGCCAAAATCATCCACGTGCTTGCATAGAATAGAATCAACGAAGATGAACTTTAAAATCTTCGATTGCAGGTGAGGACATGGAGTGAATCATCACACTGATGCATTCAGTGTGACTAATGTATTATTTTCGCTTGCACTACAAAGTAAAAATCTTCTTTCTAACACCATTGTCCAATCACAGATTAGGGAGGAACAGGCTTCTTGAGATAGAAAATTGGTGCTACCTTGATCGCTCACACTTTTTAATGACTAGATCCCATTGAAGACGATGCATGCTTCCGATCGAAGGGTCTTCCCGTGAACTTTTATGTAGCTAGATTCGTGGACTTTCCATTACAAGTTAATTTTTTTTTGTGATTTTCTTTCTAAACTTTGAATTATTGTGTTAGGTTATATTCTTGCGAGTGAATTGATAGAAACATCATTTAATACAATGAGATTTTCAATGCAATCATAGATGAGATGAAAGATTTGAAAATAATGATGACAAAAGGATACACAAAGCAACATAACAAGGAAAGAGTTCCAAGTCGAAGGGACATCAATAACATCCAATATTTAGGAATTAATTAGAAAACGAATTCAAATAATAAATTTTTTATCTAATTGCTTGTTTTGAATGAAAAAATATATAAATTAACTCTCATATATTTTTAAATAAAATCATCATTAGATTATTAACATTAATAAAAAACATAAAAATTAACTCACATGTATTTTCAAATATTTTCATGTATTTTCAAATAATGAAATCACATGCAATGAACCATCAAACAATGTTTGGTATTTATTGGGTCCAACATAAGTGAAATTGAATAATCATTGATGCAAAAAAATAAATGCATCATCACAAGAACTAGTACAAAAGCATGAAGAAAATAATATTCTTTCATTAATTTTGAAGTTAAAAGAAAGTTAAAGAAATAATGTATTTTTTTGAAGAAAATCACAAGTTAATGAAACACCTGATGCAAAAGAATAAAGAACATTAAAATTTTTTTCCAACCTCAACCAGGACAAAATGAATCAGGATAGATATGAATTTTCTTTTAATCACATAAATAACGTGAAATACAGATAACCTAAATTTATTTGTTTGACAATCAAATAAACTATCATCATCAGTAATAAGAAAGAGTTTAGAAATAAATTGAAATCATCTGAATCGTTTCTTGAGAAATTGCTCTCAATATTTAGAAAAAAATTTAATTGAAATAAAAAATATCAATTTCATTTTCAATGTTTGTATCATTTGAGTTCTAAAACATAAATTTTTTTCTTTGGATATGAATTTCGAATAAAAAATTAATTACCATGTAGTTAGATCCAGAAATATTTTGTTATAAAATACATATTAAAGTTATATTAAACTACAACTTTGATTGAGAACTAATTTTTGATGTTCATAGATGTTATCCTAGACCAAAATTTTCATCATGTATACTACATATAAGATTTAAATATGAAATAAAACTTAAAACATAGTTAGATTTCATCTCAAGCATTGTTTAAATTTTCATTTTTTTTAACATTTTAATCAATTATAGATCAAAATACTTAAACACAAAAAGTGAAAAAAATGTATATGAAGCAATTTAAGCAAGTATAAAAAATTTGAATATATTGATGATATACTTTTTGCAAGCATCTTTATTGATGTGTTTTTTTTTTTTTAAAAACACCTTCAAACTATGCAACTTCAAATTTCTGAATCAATAATTTGAATTTAAAAGATTATGTTGCCTTTTTTTATAAAACTATGGGCAATGCAATCAGAGATATACTATTCGGATTTGTACTGAAACATGCTCTCATTCTCACTAACATACCTAAATCCAAAATCTTCATGTATAAACAAGTCAAAAATATATATTCTCTAATATTTGTTTGAGAATTTATATTTTACTTTTTTCTTTGTACTAATTAAAATATTATTGTGATAATAATCATATAATCTGAATGCACAAAAATATTGATGTGTATGATTAACTATTCAAAAAAATATTTTTTGGCAATATATCATTCATTCACATAATCAACATATTTAGCTTATTAATATTTGCATTGTTTTACAATTAGAAAATTGGAACCATTGCACAAAGATTACGTTGAGATCATGAAGGCTATTCATAAAGTGACCAGGCTACAATACTCTGTCATCTTAGCAGCAGGAATTCATCATGCGATTTCTGTATTCACGGTCATTCATTTTGGCTTTGCAAACTCACCAAAATCAATGGGTACCTCATGGACACCCGGAAAGTCAAAAGAAAAAAATATGGTGAAGATTCCAGAAAAGTTTTGAATTTTCACTATAGCACTGGCGGACTGTAGACAACTGCTCATTTGAATACATTTGACAAAGTCAGCCATCAACACTTATTGCTCAGCGGCATTTACTCTTCTTACTGCAGCTGTTCATCGCCATTGATTTGACTGTGGACAAATGCAAGCAGCTGAGAAAATGGAAAATGGGACATCCGCCTTTAGGATGGGGTCAAGTCTGTTGTCGTGCCTGCAAATTTTAGTGAAAGAGTACACCGAAAAGCATTGCAAGTAAAAGTTGGTGTAGGTCAAGTGAAGCTAATGTCGTGAACTTGGTGATGGCAATTGCGGAGACATCCGGATTGGAGCAGGGAAGAAAATAGGCAACAGAATCTCCTTACTCCCGGTTATCTTCGCCATAAATTGAAAATATTACACAGGTGTGTGCGTCGGAGGGAGTTTGAAAATGTAGTTGCATTGTCATAGTCGATGCGTGATCCAATAAAAATATGATCGCATGCCAAGCTTTTTGCTAAATGCTTGGCGGTTCAACGCAAGGGAAAGCCTTAACAAACATATCCAAACAAAAACTTTTGGAAATGAAGAAAGTTAGAGTTTTGTGACTGGGCCTTTTGGACTATTTGGCTGCTTTAGTACAAGTATGGTCTAGGGAACGAACTGACACAGTGGTCGGCAACCGTCTGGAAGATGCAGTTCATGGATAAATGGAAACTGCAGGAATCAACTTCAGCTATCATCTTCATATGGTTTAGGATAGTGTAATTGTGTAAGTGTTGCATAACATCAGAACGAATTGAGTATTTTTGCTTTGCACAACATCCTTGACAGAGACAGCGGTTCAAACTAGTGAATCATTTATAAGTTTAATTTTTTTCTATTTATAAGTTCAACTTTTCTCCAATGAGCACCAACTCAGGTGAAGAAACCAAAAAAAGAACAGGAGGGCTGAAATAGTCACCCCAGGTCATGGTTGGATTAAAGTGCGTTTTCAAAAAGCAAACAGGATGGTGGCGTGATTCTGATAGACTCTTCAATGAAAGCAATGTTCTGTGCATTGTAATTGTTGGGTCCCACAAAAAAGATCAAAAGTGTCCAGCCCAGCATCTTCACTGTCCTAAGTGGAGTGAATTGGCGTAAGTTTAGTACAAGGCGGGAGTGGAAATTGCTATGCTTAATAATTTCCAGTTGGGCATGGACATATTTAAAGATATTAAACAATCTGAAGAGCACGGAGGGCGAAACAATATTGTTGTGAGTTTACTAGAACATGTTGCATTAAGAGTTTATCCTTATGATTATGTAGGACAGAGCTTGGGTCATTTTAGTGAGTGCAAGATATTTTCCACTTCTTGTGAGCAAAATGGTTTTCTATTACTCCATAGATTGAGAATTCAAAGTACCATGTGAATACTATAGTTGCATACCAAGTGCAACATTCCAGAAAAGCTCTCTTACATGTTAATAATTGGAAACTTGCTTGGCGGTAAAGACGGTGAAAACACACAGCAAAGCAACCATAGAACGTGGCAAATAACCAGATCATGCTGATTCTGTTCTCTTCTGTACCAAGCGATAAACAAGCAAGCAAGAGTGTTCTTAGCACGATCAAAATTCGATAACGATTTCATGTTTGTGGTCTCAAGACCTCCAAACTGTGCATGCATTCACATGCTTGACAGCTGGGGTAGTAGAACAATCAAACCAGCAGTAACTTCGATACTGGTATCCTCTGTACACAGTTCTAAGATATTATAGTTGGTAAATTCCTGAAAAGCTTATCAGTTTTTTCTGAACCTAGAAGTTATTTACAATTATGTACACAACTGTTCTGGATCAAAAGTAAGAATAAACGTAACATGCTTATTACACGAAGCTGACTACGCATGTGCCACTCAGCTGTCAGAATACGTGCACTTGCTCCAACAGATCGAACATCCCAGATTTATGGATTAATAAAGAAGAAAGTTGTAATGGAAATTGTCAATGTGACGTCATCGAGAATATCATCACACTGACGCATTCACCCACGTTTCCTCTCCGCTTGCACAACAAAGTCAAGATCTACTCTGACCTTCTAACACCATGTTCCAATCACAGAGTATGAAGGAACACGATTTTTGTGTTGGACTGTTGTCGTTTCCTGGATCACTCACACGATTCGATGAGAAGATCTGATTGAAGAGGATGCATGCTTTTTCCCCGCTCTAGCCATTGTAGGGTCTGTCTTCCCGTTGGTCTTGATGCAGCTAGATTCGCAGTCTCCCAGTACAAGTGTACATCCAGTTTTTTCACAACTCAGAGTTCGTCACATCTGAGAGATCTGCAATATCATGCATTCTATGACATTTTGCTTTCGCATCGCGCCATCTTTGCTAAAAACTTGATTTCAGATACTCCTGCAGAGCTATAGTCTTGTCCACTCACTTCGATCACAAGTGCACATCGAACCCTTATAGACGTGAAGTCTTTTTTGCCACACTGTCTACAATTTAGCTTGTTACTAGAATCCTGGTCTCCTGTGTCAATTTTGATTCCCATCGCTTGTCCGGAGCTCAAGCATCCTCCTGCTTTCACTTTGCACAATCTCCCTCAGTTCGTGTTGATTGCTCATGATCCGCGTATCGGCAGATCTCAGAGTGATATTTGTGTCGCTTCCAGTGCACAGTGCAAGAAGTTTCATGCCCAGCACGGGCATGCACACGATTTGTGACACTGCGACGGGAATTTCAGTTTTATTCTAGCAAGCCGGTCTTGCGGATCGAGGAGAGAGACTCTTTTAGGCCTGGCTACATTGCGCTCGCGCATGCCAAGCAGCAAACGTTTCTTCCTCTGTGAGAGTGGAGTAGAGAATGGAAATTGCAGGTGCGTCCGTCTGTCGCGGTGCTGAGCTTGCGACCCGGGGAATGGACTCCGCAGATGTGGAACCGGAGCTTCCCTCCGCTGTCCAGGACCTTATCCGGTGTCTGGAAGGCAAAGCCGATCCTTCAATGCAACTTCGCAATTTACACCGGGCAGAATTTCAGGATTTCTTTCCCAAAACTCTTCGGGAGCTCACAGAGTGGCGAAGACGAGTGCGCAAGCGAGTGCTGGAGGCAATCCGCAGCTGCAAAACCTTCAAATATATTGACATGAAAGATATTTTTCGCGGAGACATATCGAGGTTGGAAGCTGAAGAGTGGGTGTTCATTTTGGAAGGTTTTAGGAGTAGCACCGCTCTACGAGTGATAAGAGTTGAAGGATTGACATGGACCTCAATTGCGGAAGTGGAGGGCTTTTGTTTACAGGTGGGGAAAATTCTGAAAACCTCTAGCGTAACACATTTGACAGTAGGCAGTTGCAGATTGAGTGCCACATGTTTCAGGAATCTCGCTACAGGACTCCATGGAAATTCCCCATCTATGCTTAAGTCTATAGAACTACATAATGCATGGGAGGACTCGAGTGCGTTGGAGCATGTGGCTGACATAATCAAGAATGCTACTCGATTAGAAACTTTGGAAATAGGGGGCTCGGCGGACCGCATGTACGACATGGATGGGGAGGCCGCTAGAATCCTGTCGCAGGCTTTAATCCTGAGTCTGTCTTTGAAAACATTGGTTCTAAAAGAGGCGAAGGGCGTGTTGTCGGCGTTATTGCTGAAGGCATTGTCTGGAGATGATGTCAATCGATCTATTGAATGTCTTCATCTAATTTCAGTGTCTGGACTCGGAGACTGTCTACGAGAACTTCTGAGTTCCAACCCATTCTTGAAGGATGTGACGTTGACCAACATCGACATGGGTTCCGAGAAATGGCGTCAACTGGGCGAAGCCATACGCGAAAATGCTACAGCCAGAAGCATTTGCGTAACCCATCGCAGAGATGATTTGAAAGCAGCAGAAGAGCTTGCGTGTGCCGCTAGCCCCAAGGACACCACAAGCTCCGTTGGCAAGGACCCCACAGTGGAGCTGACAATCACATTTACCGATTACCAGGCATTGATGTCAGCACTCAACTTTGTGGATAGGGTATTGCGCGGAGATATCAAATCTCTAAAATCTTTGATTCTAGTTTTAAAAATAGAAGCTGGTTCCTGCCCTTCAGGCAGCGACGAACATAGTAAGAATGGAGGCGTCACCATGGAGGGGAAAACTGAGACTTCGGTCCTGGAGAGCCTGAAATTATTCGCTCAAAGCAAAGATATTTTCAAGGCAGTATGGAAGGACTTGCTCCCGGGCTTGCAAGGGAACACAAGTCTCACTCGCTTGGATTTGTCTAACTCCGAACTCGACGATGAGGCGTTCAGGGACCTGATGAGGCTGCTACAAGGGAACTCGGCTCTCCAGGAAATCATCGTCTCAGGAACTTCATGGGCAAGTGACGGAAAGGCGTTGCAGATTCACCGGGCCCTACAGAACAAGAACGAGAAGAACAAGGAGCGGGCCGTCTACATGTCAGTATTTGGAGAAGCCAACTTAAAATTTGGAGATGCAAAAGCCGGTCGACTCTTCTTATGCGGCTCTCCTAGAGCAGGTAAGATGTGCTCTAAATTCTCGGTTTTCACTTCAATGTACGCCAACTAGCAATCTATGGTTTTAGTTTTCTAAAACTAATATTACACAACAAATGCTATTTTGATCTCAATATATTGATGTGTGTATGCATGTAGTAACGAAAAGAAATTTTTTTTCAATTATGTTAATCATTAATTGTATAACTTCCATTGTTTGGGTGATCTCTATTTTTTTTTGATCAAATTTATCTTCACATATTAAAAATTATATCATGTCATATTGTATCTAAAGATTATTATATCGAAGAATATATGAATATATTATTGAATCAAAGTGTAATTTTTTGTGATTCTCTTTTCCAACCAGGCAAGACTCAATTGCGTAAAACTGTGATGAGGATAAATCAAGGAAAAAGTTGTCTAGGCAAAAGCTGTCTATGCAGTGAATGTGACGAATTGTCGAGTACGAAGGGCATTGAAGTGGAGGTAGTGCAAAATGATGACAAAATGCAAATATCAGTTTGGGATCTTGGAGGAGAACGTATTTTTCGTACCCTTCAAACCTTGCTCTTTCCTCAAACCAACTATTTTTGTGCTTTTGTTTTTGTGTATAGCCCTTTCTGTGAGGATATCTGTGAAGGTGAGGATTCACCTTCAAACAAAGATTACTCAGTTCGTTTCAAAACTGAGTTGAAGGAGTGGTTGATTTTCATCACATCTAACGCTAGGGTCTCAGGTGATCTTCCTCAAGTTTTTATTGTGATATCTCATAAAAATAAATCAACAGACAATTCTTTGAGTTGGACTGTGTTTCAACCCATAGTGGAAGAACTCACAAAAACATTTGCAAATTTTGTGTATCTCCACCCTATTGGGAAGGATTTTCATGTGGATACTCGGGAGAACAAGCAAGTTCACTCTCTCTACATTAACATTTGTCAAAAATTTGACAATTTGTTGACAAGAAAATTCCTACAGGTTCCCGAATTATGTTCTCAACTCAACTCTCTATTGGTTACATACACCAAGAAGAACAAAAGTTTTCCTTTGTGGCCAACCAAAAAGTTTTATGATTTCTGTGTTCCCATCTTGGTAAAATTCTATCCATTATCTTCTGCTCATTCTTATGATTATTCAAGGATGATGAAACCTATCATATCCTATTTGAATGAAGTTGGAACCATCATATACATACCGAACCTTGATTACATCATTGTAGATCCCAACTGGCTCACTAATACTTTCTTGGGTGAGCTGATAGATCTAGGTCAACACTTTCAAACTCAAGAGTCTAAGTCAAGCAAGGACGGATTTGTGAGCGAGAAGTTCTTTGCTGTACTGATAGAGAAGTTTCTGGGAAAGCTATCACGCTATCATGTGGACAGATGGGTGCTTGAAAAAATCCTTATCAATTTAGATATGTGTTTCAAGCTGGAAAATACTTCTGAGTATTTCATTCCTTTTTTCATTCCGGAGCATGCAAGCAAGGAGAAACATAATGATCTAGAAGGGGCGCATGTGATGAAGTGGGAAAATAGGAGTGAGATTTCACAGTTCGTTGGCATTCGGATTCAATGCCAAGATTGGACAACAATGTCACTGACTGCTGCTTTTTTTCCACGCTTCCAGGTGAATTTCAATCATGATTTCATAAACACAGTGAAAACATTGTATGTGTCAAGTTCTGATTGTAATTTGCGTATGATGAATAGAATGCTCCTTTTCATTAATTGTAACACATTATTCAAATGTCCAACTCAATACTTACCAAGTTTTCTATGATTGCAGATGTTCATGAGACGCAAGTTGATATCTGAGATGGCTGTTTCCGAGGAGAATGTTATCTGCTCTCGACATTATCTGCTACTTTTCCTTGATGGGCATCAGATATATATCGAGCACGTTCAGAGTGAAAAGTCCTCCAAATACGTAGATGTTCTGATGTCCAGTCAGAAGTCCAGGGAGGAGGCTATTACATATGTGAGGAAGCATATCGTCCAGGAGTTGATATCATTTTGCGCATCACCGCAAGGCTGTCCCGGGGTGGCGTTAGTGCTCGGTGTTATCCAAACATTTTGCGTGAAGAAGCTGATTCGGATTCATCTCAGAGGAACCATTCTGATCGAGAAGCTGAAATTGGACTTCAAAAATAGCATCAATGACAAACTTGAGAAAATGCCGTTGGAAAGGTCTCACTTGATGGAGAATGAAAAGTTGTTCCACTATGAGCAGTCTTGGCCCTCGATTGATAAGCACATAGGGGAAAGTCTCGAACGAGCAAGGGATTTGTTGTCGGAGAGCGATGTGAAAGCGATCGTGAATGAAATTCAACAAGAACGGGACAACCGTTTGCTTACACTTGATGTGTGAGTCCGTGACTAGCTTTCACTTCGTCAAAGATCAAGAAAGTTTGATGATAAGCTTGGATCTAGAGAATACCTCATGGATTCAAAAAACTATTAAAATCTCGTACGAAGTCATGTGTTATGCTGTGAAGGCTGGACTGAATAAGATCCTCAATTTGGGCCAAGCGAATCTGGATTGGGAAGATTTAAAATCTGATATTGTTCAACTAGACGGTATTGATGATGATGATCATAGGGCATTTCTAAAAGTTGGAAAAGCAAGGAGCTGCAGAAAGCATGGTTGAGGATTCAGTAAAATCTTGCGCGTTAGCTTCAAAATCTCTATTCCGAAATCTTCAAGTTGTATCAGGTGAAATACGTGAGTTTAGAAAAAGGTGGGCATGCACGGGTGTGAAAAAAATGCAGGAGTAAAGGCATTCGTTGTGGAATTTTGACATGTTAGGAATTTGAAGAGGTGAGAATGCCATTATGCAATTGACAAGCATATGTTTAAACCCTCATGTAATATACAACTCTGAAAATTCTTCCTTGCAGTTTTCACAAGAAGAAGTCTTTGACAATCTTTGCCATGTCAATCGCAGAGTTATGTTTCAGAAGAAGATTAGTTTTCAGTCAAGCTATCAAGATGACTTTTTGAGTATAGAGTGTTCATATTATCTTTTTGCAAGTCTCACCATGATGAATTCCCTTCACTTGACACGTGGGGGTGGTCACCTTGAACTTCTATACGTATCCCTCAATGATTCTTCTGTTGTTGCACGACGAACGTCCAACAACTGTATGATGGAGCGGAATTCAAACTACGACGTGTGGTCTTTCTCAGGTAGTATCTGTGCTCAAACAAGAGAGCAATTGAAACTAAATGCACAATGTCCAATCTGTGAAGCTCAGAGATTCGTAGTTCATGTAAATCTGCTTCTGGCCTTCCTTTGTATTACCAGAAGATTTCACAAGATTCCTTGGGTGGCCTTAATCCAATTCGAATGCATCTTACAGGTAAAAACAAATTGTAAATAAATCTCTGTCCTGTGATGTTGTAAAGTTGTAGATGCGTCATGATAGTTTTTCGTTCCGCATTCTTCGCGATACAATATGATAACATGCTTGTGCTGGCCATGATCTCAGCACATTTTAAATCGCTAGCACGGTCAGAACTGTCACGTGGCACGAAATCTCTTGCAATTGGACTGCACGCGGACGTTCAGTTATAGAGACTGTTTAGGTCTAGGACAAATTTTTTTAACGCAATTGTAAATATTCTATTGCAATTATATTGTGTTATATTATATTATATTGCAATTATATTTGTGTCATCTTTATGAGTGTAGGATACTTTGCACGTCTAAGCTTGTGTGAGCATAAGGGTTTGTTATTTATTCATTGAATTAGAGTTTCAAGTTACCATGTGAATGCAATAATTTCAAACAACTACAAAACTTTAGTGAAGTTATTCTACAATGAATACTTGTAAAATTCAACAATTTTGACTGGTGAAAACTGTGAGAATACACAACAAAGTAATCAAATAACATCATGTAAAAAAACCATATTAAGTGATTTCTCATCAGAGCTGCTTGTAATCTTTTCCAGATAACTGTTTTAAATATTTGGCTGTATTCTCACTCAAATTAAAAATGAAATGGTGAAATTATCAATGGGTTATAACATGATTTTGTCATCAGCATTTCATCTCTTCATGGGTCATTCAAGTTGAAAGCAAAATGCATCTAGAGTTTTGATGTGTCTAGTATGTTCATCTTCTACTCAAAAAAAGTACTTGGGGGCTCTGATAACCTTTTTGTCCCAAATTTCGTATTTAAGTGGTAAATATCTACCATTTTATATCATTAGTAAAATTTATATTAAAATATTCTTAAGTTACATTAATCTTGATGATGCATCTTAATAAAAAAACCCAAGAATCAAAGCCCCAAAAGTACAAAAGCAACTGAAACATCTGAAGAATCTAATAGTCAAAATCTCTGAAGCAATTAAGATATATTATGAGAAACATAATACTTTCACTTTTAATGAATAATTAAATCATTGTCAGCTAACATTGAGCATATGAAGAATATTTCAAGTCATGTGTACAACACAATTTGTCTTCAGTTGCAAGCAATTTCCAAAAATGTAACTTCTTCAGAAAATTTACGTTATCCTTAGCCAGGATCATGCTGGTTCTCAGCGACGCGATACACAAGCAAGAGTGTTATCAGCACGGACGAAATTCGATTTGAAGTGTTTGAAGTGTAAAGACCTCCAGAATCTGGAACTAGAACTGTGCATGCGTTCACATGCTTGACAGTTGACTTAGAAGAACAATCACACCAGCAGTTGAGAGCCTCGAGTACTAGTATACTCTGTACACAGTTCTTCGATATCATAGTTAGTAAATTCCCAAAAAGCTTATGAGTTTTTTCTGAACCTACAAGTTATTTTCAATTAAGTAAACAACTGTTCTGGGTCAAAAGTAAGAAAAAATTGTAACATGCTAATTACACCAAGCTGACTACGCATGTGCCACTCAGCTGTCAAAATACTTCCACTTGCTCGAATAGATCAAACATCCCAGATAGATGGATTAATAAAGAAGAAATTTGTAATTTAAGGTGTCAGTGTGACATCATCGAGTATATCATCACAACTGACTTTGCTGACGCTGCTTTGCTGGCAACGTCGTGCAGGTCTGCAAAAACGGCAGCATACCTGTTTCTGGTGGCGAGATTGGTGATGCGGTAAGGTTTGAACTGGTGAACAGCCTGCCATCAATTGAGCTGGTGATTTCTGTTTGCACGTTCATTCATTGTGACTTTGAGAATTCAACAAAATCAGTGGGTCCGCCATGGACCCACTAATTTTGGACAACCTAAAAGTCAAAAGAAAAAAAAATGGTGAAGATTCCAGAAAGGTTTGTAGTTTTTACTATAGCACTGAGGGACGGTAGACGGACTGCTCACTTCAATACATTGGACAAAGTCATCCATCAACACTTAATGCTCTTCTTAATGCAGCTGTTCATGGATTGTGGACAAAGTCACACAGCTGAGAAAATGAAAAATGGGACATCCGCGTCTTCGGACAGGGTCGTGTCTCTTGTCGGGCCTGCAAAATGTAGCTGAATACAACACCGAAGCCACTGCACATAAAAGTCGTGAACTTGGTGCTGGAAATTGCACTGGATTCCCGATTGGAACAGGGAAAAAATTGTGCAACAGAATCTCCTGACTCCGGTTGTCTTTTCCATGGATTGAGATTTTTACAAGATGCGTGTAAGAAGGAGGTTCCCATTGTAACAGCATTGTCATGGTAGATGACGTGATCTTATAAAATATGATAAGATGCTAAATTTTCTGCTAAATGCTTTGAGATTCAACGCCAAGAAAACCTCAACCAGCATATCCAGACAAAACAAAACATATTTTGGCGGTAACAAGAAAGTAACCACAGTACATGGCAAATAACCAGATCATGCTGTTTCTGTCGTCTTCTGTACCAACAAAGTAACCACAGTACATGACAAATAACCTGATCATGCTTTTTCTGTCCTCTTCTCTACCAAGCGATAAGCAAGCAAGAGTATTCTTAGCACGATCAAAATTCGATAACGATTTCATGTTTGTGGTCTGTAGACTACAAACATGAAATCGTTTTCGAATTTTGATCGAACGTTATCGAACGATTTCATGTTTGTAGTCTACAGACCTCCAAACTGTGCATGCATTCACATAATTGACAGCTGGGGTAGAAGAAAAATCATACCAGCAGCAGTTGATAACCTCGAGTACTGGTATCCTCTGTACACAGTTCTTCCATATCATAGTTAGTAAAATCCCAAAAGCTTATCAGTTTTTTCTGAACCTACAAGATATTTACAATTATCTACACAAGGGTCACGCTTGTTACACCAAGCTGACTAGGCATGTGCCACTCAGCTGTCAGAATACATCCACTTGCTCGAATAGATCAAGCATCCCAGATAGATGAATTAATAAAGAAGAAAGTTGTTATGGAAGTTGTCAATGTGACTTCATCGAGCATATCATGACACTGACGCAGTCCCCCACATTTCCTCTCCGCTTGCACAACAAAGTCAAGATCTACTTTAACGTTCTAACACAATTGTCCAATCATAGAGTAGGGACGAACACACTTTTTGAGTTAAAATATTGATCGCTCACTCTTTTCAATGACGAGATCTGATTGAAGACGGTGCATGCTTTTTCCTCACACTACCGATCGAAAGGTCTATCTTCCCGTGAGTCTTGATGCAGCTAGATTCGCAGTCTTTACATTACAAGCTTACACAAACGTTAAAAACTACTGTGACTATTTTTTCTCAACGTTGGATTATTGTCTTGGGTTATATTTTTGCGAGGGAAGTAAAAAAAATACATCATTTGATATGAATGAGATTTCAAATGCAATTATAGGTGAGATAAAAGATTTGAGAATAGTGGTGACAAAGGGATACACATAGCAGCATAACACGGAAAGAGGTCCAAGTTGAACTGGCATGAATAACATCCGATACTTAGGAATTAACTAGAAAACGATTTCAAGTCATTGAAAATCAAGTTAATTTCTTGTTTTGAATGAAAAAAACATATAAGTTCACTCACATGTATTTTCATATAATTTTAAATAGTGAAAAGACATGCAATGAATCATCAATCAATGTTTGGAATTTATTTGGCCCAACGTAAATGAAAATGAAAAATCTTTGACGTAAAAAATTAAATGCATAATCACAAGAACCGATACAAAAGCATGAAGAAAATATTAGTTTCTCATTAAATTTGAAGTTTAAATACACTTACAAAAATAATGTAGTGTTTTGAAATAAGTCACCAGTTATTGAAACACATGATGGAAAATAATAAAGAACATTTAAAAATTTGTCAAACCTCAACGAGGGCAAATTTAACAGGATAGATAGGAATGTGCTTTTAATCACGTAAATAACGTGAAATACAAATAAGCTAACGTTATTTGTTTGAAAATCAAATACACCATCATCATCAGTAACAATACTGACTTTATAAATAAATTTAAATCATCTGAAAAGTTTCTTGAAAGATTGCTCTCAATGATTAGAAACAACAAATAATTAAAACAGAAAATATCAATTTCACTTTCGATGTTTGTATCATTTGAGTTCTTAAACAGCATAATTTTTCTTTGGAAATGAATTTCGAATAAAAAATCAATGACCATGTATTTTAGATCCAGATATATTTTTTTACAAAATACATATTAATTATTGACACATAACTTTGATTGAGATTTAATTTTTGATGTCCATAGATATTATCCTAATCCAAATTTTTCATTATGTATACTAAATATAAGATTCAATTTTGAAATAAAACTTAAAACAAAGCTAGATTTGTTTTCAAGAATTGTTAAAATTTTTCTAATTTTTAAAAAATTTTAATCAATTATACATCAAAATACTTGAAGAAAAAAATTTTAGTGAACAAAATGTACATGTTGAAATTTAAGCTATCATAAAAAATTTGAATATATGAATGATATTGCATTGCTTGCTATTTGCAAGCTTCTTTTTTGATGTGTTTTTTTAAAAATACCTTTAAACTATGCAACTTCAAATTTCTGAGTCAATAATTTGAATTTGAAAGATTATTCTGTCTTTTATATAAAACTATCGGCAATGCAATCAGAAATATACTATTCGGATTTATACTGAAACATCCTCTCATTCTCACTAACATCCCTAAATCCAAAATCTTCATGTATAAAACAAGTAAAAAATATAAATTCTCTAATAATTATTTGAAAATTTATATTCTTCTATTTTATTTGAATTAATTAAATTTTTTTTTGTGATAATAATCATATAATTTAAATGCACAAAAATATTGAAATATAAAAGTAACTATCTTAAAAAGTATTTTTTGGCAACATATCATTCATTCACATAATCAACATATTTAGCTTATTCATATTTGCATTGTTTTACTATTAGAAAATTGGATCCATTGCAATAGGATTACGTTGAGATCGTGAAGGCCATGCTTAAAGTGACCAGGCTGTCATCTTAGCAGCACGAATTCATCATGCGATCTCTGTATTCAAGGTCATTCATTTTGGCTTTGCAAACTTACAAAAAAAAGACCTCCAAACTGTGCATGCATTCACATGCTTAAAGTGACAGCTGGGGTAGAAGAACAATCATACAGTTGATTACCTCGAGTACTGGTATCCTCTGTACACAGTTCTTCGGTATCATAGTTAGTGAATTCCCAAAAAGCCTATCAGTTTTTTCTGAACCAAGAAGTTATTTACAATTATGTACACAACTGTTCTGGGTCAAAAGTATTAAAAAACGTAACATGCTTATAAGACCAAGCTGACTATGCATGTGCCACTCAGCTGTCAGAATACGTGCACTTGCTCGAACAGATCGAACATCCCAGATTTATGGATTAATAAAGTAGAAAGTTGTAATGGAAGTTGTCAACGTGACGTCATCGAGAATATCATCACACTGACGCATTCATCCACGTTTCCTCCCCCACGTTTCCTCTCCGCTTGCACAACAAAGTCAAGATCTACTCTGACCTTCTAACACCACGTTCCAGTCACAGAGTATGAAAGAACACGATCTTTGTGTTCGAATGTTGTCATTACGTTGATCGCTCACATGATTCAATGAGAAGATCTGATTGAAGAGGATGCATGCTTTTTGTTCACGCTAGCCATCGTAGGGTCTATCTTCCCGTTGGCCTTGATACAGCTAGATTCTCAGTCTCCCAGTACAACTGTGCATGCAGTTCTTACACAACTCAGGCTTCGTCACATCTGAGATGTCTGCAATATCATGCATTCCATGACATACTGCTTTCACATCACACTATCTTTCCTAATAACTTGATTCCAGATCCTCCTGCAGAGCTATCATCTTGTCGACTTAGCTCGGTCACCAGTGCACATCAAACCCTTCTCTCTCCCTTATACCTTTCGATAGACGTGAAGTCTTTTTTTGCCACACGATCTACGATTTAGCTCGGAACCAGAATCGTGGTCTTCTGTGTTCATTTTGAGTCCCATCGCTTATCCCGAGCTCGAGCAGCCTTATACTTCCACTTTGCCCAATATCCCTGAGTTTATGGTGATTGCTGATGATCCGCGCATCGGCAGATCTCGGAGTGATATTTGTGTCGCTACTTGTTCACAGTGCAAGAAGTCTCATTCCCCAGCAGATCAATTTTCTTCGGGAGAACCGCGATTTCGGATTGAGGAGAGGGACTCCGGCGGTTACATTTCGAGAGGAGGAGGAGGAGGAGAGAAAGGAAGGTGCAGGTGCGTCCATCATCAGTCACGCTGCTTAACTTGCGACACGGGAAATGGAGCTTCCCTCCACCATCCTGGACCTTGTACATCGTCTGGAAGGACAAGGCGAGCCTATGAAGGAGCTTCCCGATTTAAGCGGGCCAGAATTTCTGGAGTTCTTTCCGACTGGAAGACTCTTGCTCGATGATCACTCGACTGCAGGACAAGTGCGCAGTCGAGTGCTGAAGGCCATCGGCAGTTGCAACACCTTTGAATATCTGAACGTAGAAGATATTTTTGGTGGAGATATATCGAGGTTGACGGCAAGGGAGTGGGACGTAGTTTTCAGAGGTTTCAGATCTAGCACTGTTCTACGAATGATAAGCGTTTATCATTTGAAATGTAATTCAGAGGAAGTGAAGACCTTGGAAAACTTGTGCTTACAGCTGGGGAGAATTCTGGAGTCCTCTAGTGTAACAGAGCTGAAACTGTACAATTGCAGATTGAGTGCCAGATGTTTCGCGAAGCTTGCCTCAGAAGTACGAGGTTCTAGTTCTAAACTCCAGTATTTAGAACTAGAGGACGCGTGGGAGGACTCGAGTGCGGTGAAGCATGTGGCTGACATAATCGAGAGTGCTCCTCTATTAGAAACGTTGCGTTTAGGCGGCTATTATAACGTTGAGGAGGATGAAACCGTTGGAATCCTGTCCCAGGCGTTGATCAAGAGCTCGTCCCTGAAAGAATTGGACTTAGGAGGTGGGGTGAAGTGGGGAGCTGCCTTGTTGCTGAAAGCATTGGCGGGAGACGATGGCAACCGATCCATTGAACGTGTTCGGCTGTGGCGTATGGATAGAATCGGAGACTTTTTGAAGGAGCTTTTTTCTTCCAGCGCATCGTTGAAGGAAGTGGAGTTGCCCCACTTCCGAATGCGTCCTGAGGAAGTGCAGCAGCTCGGCGAAGTCATACGTGACAATTCTATAGCGACAACTATACTTGCTAAGTTTGACGCGGAATTATTTGACTGGGCTTCAATAGAAGCTCTTGCGCGTTCTGCTAGCTCCGATGTCAAGGACCCCACACTGGAGCTTGAACTCTATACTACTAGGGAAGATGAAGTGATATCATCATTAAACCTATTAGGTAGGGTACTGTGCGGGGAAATCAAATCTGTAAAATCTCTGAGTATACGGGAGGCGTATAAAAAAATAATCACTTTCAGTATCCTCCCGATGAATGGGAATACTGGAGAAACTTCAGCAGTCCTGAAGAGATTGGGATTATCTGTTCGAAGCGAAGATCTTTCGAAGGGAGTATGGGAGGAGCTGCTTCGGTGCATGCGAGGGAACCACCTCACTCACTTGGATTTGTCTGACTCCCAACTCGACGAGGAGGCGTTCAGGGACCTGATGGGGGTGCTGCAAGGGAACCACCTCACTCACTTGGATTTGTCTGACTCCCAACTCCACGACGAGGCGTTCAGGGACCTAATGGGGGTCCTGCAGGTGAACTTGGCTCTCCAGGAAATCGACGTCTCACGAACATGGTGGGAAAGTGACGGAAAGGCGGCGCAGATTCAACAGGCCCTGCAGCAGAACAAGGAGCGGGCCGTCTACATGTCCGTGTTCCGAGAAGCGAACTTAACATTCGGAGATGCAAAAGCTGGCCGACTCTTCTTATGCGGCTGTCCTCGAGCAGGTAAGATGCGCTGTAAAGTCTCAATCTTTTCCTGAATGTAGGCCAACTAGCAATCTATGGTTTAACATTTCTAAAACTAAGATTGACACTACAAATGCTATTTTGATCTATATATAATGATGCGTGTATACAAACAGTAACGGAAAGAAAAAAAAATCAAATATGTAAATCATTAATTATGTAACTTCGATTATTTTGGTGATTTTTTCTTTTTTCAATCAAATTTATCTTCACATATAGAATCAATATCATGTCATATTGTATTTCAAGAATATCAATTCAAAGCATTTGTGAAGATATCGTTCATAACAAGCTCTGTATTTTGTGAATTTTTTTTCCAAAATGCAGGCAAGACTCAATTGCGTCAAACCTTGATGAGGATAAATCAAGGCAAAAGCTGGCTAGACAATAAATGGGAGAAATTGTCTGGAACCAAAGGCATTGAGGTGGAGTTTTTGGTAAACAATGACAATATGCAAATCTCAGTTTGGGATTTTGCAGGACAATGGATTTTCCGTACCCTTCAAACTGTACTCTTCTCTCAAACCTACAATTTTTGTGTTTTTCTTTTTGTGTATAGCACTTTATGTGAAGAAACATCTTCAACCAAACCAGAATCTTGTTTCAGAACTGAGTTGGAAGAGTGGTTGAGTTTTATCACATCTAGCACCAAGGTCACGGGGCGTGATCTTCCCCAAGTTATTGTTGTGATTTCTCACAAGGATAAATTCAAATCTAGCTTTTTGAGTTTGGCTCACCCCATAGTGGAAGAATTGACTAAAAGATTCACAAAATTTGTGGATCTTCGCCCTATTCAAGAGTGTTTCTATGTGGATGCTCGGAAGAAGAAGCAAGTTAGCTCTCTTAACAGACACATAATTGAGACTTTCCACAAGTTGTTGAGTGAGAAATCCCCACAGGTTCCGGAATTGTGTTTACAACTCACCTCTCTCTTGATTACAAACACCAAAGAGAACAAAAGTTTTCCTTTGTGGACATCCCAAAAGTTTTATGATTTCTGTGTTCCCACCTTGAAAAAATTCATTCCATCATTATCTGCTCATCTTGATGATCATTCCAAGATCATTTTTGAATCTATTATATCCTATTTGAATGATGTTGGATCCATCATTTACATCCCCAACCTTGATTACATCATTGTAGATCCCAACTGGCTCACTAATACCTTCTTGGGTGAGCTGATAGCTCTGGGTCAAAACTTTCAAGCTCAAGAGCCAGAGTCTTCTTATAGAATGAGCTCATACGCAAGCAAGGACGGATTTGTGAGCGAGGTTGTCTTTGCTGGACTGATAGAGAAGTTTCTGAGAAAGCAACCACGCTTTCAACATGTAGATAGAAAGGTGCTTGAAAACATTCTCATCAATTTAGATTTTTGTTTCAAACTGGAAGATTCTTCTCAGTATTTCATTCCTTCCTTCATCCCTGAGCATGCAAGCAAGGAGGAACAGAATCATGGAGAAGGGGCCCACGCGAAGTCGATGGATTGGGAAAACAGAGGTGACACTCCACAGTTTGTCGGCATAAGGATTCAATGCAAAGATGAAAGAACAATGTCCCTGACTGCTGCTTTTTTTCCACGCTTCCAGGTGAGGTTCAATCATGAATTCATAAACTTAGTGAAAACATTGTATGTGCCAAGTTCTAATTGTAATTAGCTTATGATGAAGCGAATGTTTACTTTTCATTAATTGTGACAAATTATTCGAATGTCTCACTAGAGATTTACCAAATTTCTATGATTGTAGATGTTCATGAGACGCAAGTTGATATCCGAGGAGATGGGTGCTTCTGAGGAGAATGTTATCTGCTCTCGACATTATCTACGACTTTTCCATGACGGGCATCAGATATACATCGAGCACGTTCAGAGTGAAAAGTACTCCACATGTGTAGATGTTCTGATGTTATGCTCCAGTCAGACGTCCAAGGAGAAGGCTATTACATATGTGAGGAAACATATCGTCCAGGAGTTGATATCATTTTGCGCATCACCAAAAGGCTGTCCCGGGGTGGTGTTAGTGTTCGGTTTGATCCAAACTTTTTGCGTGGAGATGTTGATTCCGATTCATCTGAGAACAACCATTCTGATCGAGAAGCTGAAATTGGACTTCAAAAATAGCATCAATGAAAAACTTGAAGAAATGCCGGTGGAAAGGTCGCACTTGATGGAGAAGGAAGAGTTGTTTCACTATGAGCACTGTTGGCCTCCGATTAGAAGATACACCGGCCAAATATCTGAACTAGCAAGGGATTTGTTGTGGGAGAGCGATGTGGATGCAGTTGTGAATGAGATTCGACAGGAACGAATTGAAGAATTGAAGTCATTGCAGGAAGGTTTACTTAGAGTGGACAATGATTTGACTAAGTGTTATCCTGAAGCTGAAAACATGGTTAGCTACTCGAATTTTCCCCAGATGAAAGACCGCAAACCATCCACATCCAGGTACTTGAGTCGGGCCAGCACAAGTGTGGAGAATCGTTCGACTCGACTTCTATTGTTCAATATCGACCCGCTAGAAGAAAAGCTAGTACAAAAGGTTGATGGTTTGGAAAGAAAGATGATACAGAAGGTTGATAGTTTGGATGAGAGATTGAGATCAGTGAATAACACTCTGGAGAAATTGGAGATGAAGATGGGACATATACTCTCTGTGCAACAAGAACTGCAGTCAACGTTGATTGTCTTCATGTCTAAGGTGGATAGGATCATTGGCTATTCGCAAGCGTTTCAGCAGGGGAATACGCCCAAACGACCTTACGTTACGGACGATGTGGGATATTTATATAGGTTGAGTGCAGGTCTGCATGTCGGGACAATTGTTCGATTACACTTGATGTGTGAGTCGGTGACTGGGTTTCACTTTGTCAAAGATCAAGAAGGGTTGAAGTTACGATTGGATTTGGACAAGTGGGGGTTGATTCGGAAAACTATTGAAATTTCATACAAAGTCATATATTATGCTGCAAAGGCTGCACTGACTAAGTTCTGCAAGTTGGGCGATGTGATTCCGGCCTGGGCAGATTTGGAATCAGATATAGTTAAACTAGATGTTAGCAGTGAAGATCGCAAGGCAGTTCTAACAGGTGGGGATAGCCAGGAGCTGCAAGATGCATGGTTGAGGATTCAGCAAATTCTTGCGCCTGAGCTTCAAAATCGCTATTCCAAAATCTTCAAATTGTATCAGGTGAAGTATGTGAGTTTAGAAAAAGGTAGGCATGCATGGGTGTGCGAGAAGTGCATGAGTAAAGGCCTTCGTTGTGGAATTTTGACATGTTAGGATTTTGAAGAGGTTAGAATGCCAATATGCAATCGACAAGCACACGTTGAGACCCTCATGCAATATGTAACTCTGCAAAATTTTCCTCTAATTTGGGTTGAGGAAAGAATATTATGAAACAATCAAAACAATATGTCTGCTTTCTTTTCATATGTTGTCTGAGTTTCTTTAGTAGCTGAGTTGAATTTTAAGAGGAAGGGAGTTAACTTAGATGGGATTGATGTCAAGCTGTAGTACGCTTCACTTCTTACATGTGCTTAACCTGAAATTAGTTACGGTAAACTTTCTCACATAACACATTTTGGGACATTGTCGCAAGTCTATGACTTTGTTAAGTATGTGATTGCTGATGTCATAAAATTTTGGGATTGCCGTGGCAAACTGTCTGGAGAATGCGAATCATGGACAAGTCGAGACTATGACGATCATCTTCACTTTGTTTGTGAAGTTATGGTTTCAAACGGATGGCGCACCGCGAACTATTCTTGCATATCAGTCACTATGAATACTAATGCATGAAGTGGATACGAGTCAGCAGTCCATGAGTTGTCCTGGTTAGCACAAGTCCCACAAAAATTTGGCAAGTTTAGCATCTTCACGTCTTTTTGTGGTGTGACCTTGTTGTGAGAACGATTAGTTGATAAAACACATTCATGACAGCGATTAGATTAGATCAGATCTACTAAATATATATTGTGTTGCTGTATATGCTTAAAAGAAGGTCGTCATCTAGTCCGTTTTTTTAGGCCCAACACCGCTGTGTACTTGGTGTGTAATCTACGAGCCACTACAGATAATGTGCTTATATGTGGCACGCCTTTCAGTAACTAAATCGAGTTTCTATCTTACAACATGGTTCAAGTGTTTTTGGTTTGGATCCTCTACGAATGATGACACGCGATTAGAAATCACGTTTACAGGTATTGCTACTTTCCAGCCGCCATGGACGAACCCCATTGCAATTCTTCTTTACACTACGCCCCGAAGAGAAACTCACCGGTCGCCTCAATTATATGAATTGGTTTATTAAGACTCCAGACCATGCTGTGAGACAAGTACATCTACGAAAAAATTGTTCTGGCTCCAGCTCCCATTAGACAATATTGTTGTTTGCTGCGGTCACATCAAAGCAATAGCTATGTCTTTAGTGTCTTCTTTGACTATATTTCTTCTACTATTGAGTTTAAGGACGATCCATCAAAATTCTGAGATTATTTGCTAACCCTTTACCTGTACAACGATTCTCAGCGACTTTTTATGTTGACTAAACAGCTAGCCACATTTCAATCACGTGAAAGGGTCATGTAATTTAGCAGTGTAAGATACTCACAAACAGTCCCCTGTTTAGTAGACTCAGCTCTCCGTTATTGATAACCACCCTTCAAACTTTGATTACATTCACTATACGCTTAAAGCTCTACCTCTCACGTCATCAGCCTTCTTCTCTGAACTTTAGCAGCGATCTTCCTTAAGATCTTCTCCCAAAGTTCAAGGTCTTGTGATAATCATTCCTCAATTTTGCTTTGTGTTTAATAGACCCAACCTTGGTAATGTTTTCTTATATAATCAACGCAATCCAGAGATCAAGTTGTATTGCATTCTTCCAAAATCACAACAAGTCAATGTGAAGTCACTTTGCCACTTCTGTGCATTCGATTTAACTGTTTGAAGTATCCAGGAAACCGCCCGACTCACTCACATACCCTACCTCTGTGGATTTCATAAAGGATCTTCCTATGAGCAATCCAACTGTCCTTGAAAACATTGATATGTCATCTTGGCGCTATCTTATGAAACATAAGATTGCACATCATGTGATCTCCAAGCACTTTGCAACTGGTTTTTTCCAACTTGCAGTGGACAAAGATCTTCACTGCGAAGCATGTGTACTTGCAAAACAACACCGAGGAAAGAAATTCAAACGAGCTTCAAAGAAAACAACTTGACCACTGGAGCTGATTTAGAATGACCCATGTGGACGGACCACTTAAAGCCGGCACTAGGTTCAAGTATTTTTTTACTTTCACTTGTGTGTACACTCGGTTTATCTAGATATAATTTCTTCATCTGAGAAGCGAAAGATATCACCAGTTTAAGGGATTTTTTTTACCCACTGAAAATCATAAGATGGCGGTTGTATGGCACACTAAACACAACTGAACATCTAAGATAGTTTGCCTTTCACACAAGAAGAGGGGGCAAATATCAATCTACCAAGTTCAGGGGATACTGGCTTCGAAAGAGAATGGCTCGCTAGTTGACAACTACCGCCACTTTTCACCACAATGACATCTTAGAATGTAAGAATGTGGTAACACACTTTTTGTTTTTTTTGCAGAATTTAAACAATTTTAGAAAACTAGTACCAAAGCAGTGTTTGTAGCTAGAGAAGGGTACGCTAAATAGAGTGTATTGATGAGATCGTCACGAGGGCACAAAGAATCACGTCGTCGGATGTACCAACGCCAACGTCTTCGGCGCCTTCGGCAAAAGCTCCTTTTTGAGGTGTCTCTACTCACGCGCCTCTAGCGTATAAGGAAGCTACGCTTCCGGCGCAGACACCTCAGGAGGAGGTTTTGCTAAAGACGTCAGGAGAAGGGCCCGGACCTCTAAAGGCATCCGACCATGAGTGCGCCTTCGGCGAAGCGCCGCTAGCGCGGAAAGGGAAAACCTTCATAACAATCGCGATACACGGTAGATCCAGTTGGTTGAAGTTGCATTAGAAAGAGCTCGGGACGCTCGTTCTAACGAGTCCAAGAGCGTCGGAGATGGATTAGGAATGGAGAAGTTATGAGCGTCGGAAAACTCGTAGCCGGACATGCGCCGTTCGCGCTAGGGTTCACAGCCGGAAAGGATTCCCGTACGCCCTCGGCGATGCGCCTTCGGCGGAATCACACGCTCACAGGAGGAAACCAACTCAGAGTCGGAAGCGCCCTTGGCGGCTGTTCATGGAAGGAAAGCGCCGGTCGGATGTACGCCTCCGACGTGGCGCTGACGGCCGGATGCGCTGGCATGAGTTGCGCTGACGGATATGCGCCGGCAGCAACGGACGAGGCATAAAGGACAAAATAGGCGGTACGACTGCGCGCCGGCGTAATTCGCTCCGGCTGGATGTGCGCCTCCAGCAAGGCGCCGACGGATAATGAACGCACCAGCGGCGACACGCCTCCGGTGAAGGACGGGTTAGGAAAAGACAACAGGGCCGACGTATACCCTGCAGCGGACTCGAGTCCGGAAGGTGGCGGCGGCGGGAGGATTCAACGTTTAAGCATGCGAATGCGCGCAATGCGGAGACGTGAATTCGCGCATGCAAAGGGCGAACCGTTAAGCCGTATAGCCGGCTGCGTACGTTGCAACCAGTAAGAACGTTGGACGTTCTTGAAATCGGAGAAGAAAAGACTGCGCTCCAGTCTCATTCTCTCATTCTTGACTTTGCGATTTCCAGTTCCAAGATTACGCGCAAGGGCGGAGCGACCTGCAGTGAGAGTAGAGAGTGCGGAGACGAGTTGCGCAAGGATCTTGGCGGACCTTGAAAGAATTGTGAGTAGCGATCTTGAACGAGCGCAGAGAGAGTGAGCAGTCAGTGCTTGAGTGGCCGACGCGCAGTGGCGATTGTGAGAGAGCGAGCGAAAGGGAGAACGTTTGTGTGTGTGCAGGCAACGCAATGTCGAAGGTTCCCCAGCTGCGAGTGTCTCCACTCAGGGTGCCGCAGATCGGTCTACGCGCATTTCAAGATGTGCTGTTGAGGCTGAAGCTCGATTTTCTCCTATGGGGGTGGAATTGGACGTGTCCGGAGATGGTGCGCGAGTATCTGCAGGAGAGACACAAGCCTTCTCGCGGATTTCGCCCACACCCAGAGAGATGGGACATTTGCAATTGGGCGCAGGTGTTGGGCAGGTGTGCCGGCGAGGAAGGGGATCTCCTCTTCGAGGCCGATAGCGTGAAGGTGTACCAGGAGGAAGAAGTCTCTTACAATGAGCTCTTCAAAGTGGCCAGACATCCCAAGAACGGTTTCCGGACACGGGATTACAAGGATCGATTGCGGAGAAATGTCGCGACGGCATTGCTGCAGATATTGCAGCCGACCAAGACCGCTTACATGCATGGTTGGCAGGTAGAGTTCGTGGAGCTAGTGCTGTCAGGAGCTCCGGTGCATTGGACACGGCTCCTGTGGAAGGTGACGCGCCAACATGCGCAAGAAGAGAGGGGAGGAACCCTCAATCATCTATCGCCTTACTTAATCGTGTTTTACCGGGCGATGGGATGTTTGACGAATGCTGAGAAAACTCGATTTCCGCAGCTGACCCGGACTTATCCAGGAAGATATTCGAGGGAGGCCGAAGTAGACACAGATCCGGACGAGGAACCTGCCAGTACGCCTCCGGCTCCGGCCCCAGCAAGAGCAGCAGAAGAACGTCGAAGTGAGCGCATTCCGCGAAAGCGGAAGTGGGATGAGAGACATGAGGACAGGCAGCCGGAAGTGCCAGCTGCGCCGACTCGTGGTCGGCCCACCCCCGAGCCTCACAGTCGACCAAAACAGAGGGCACGCAAAATGCCAACTGTTACTGAGGAGACCAGGCGAACTCCGACCCGGCGGAATCTCACACAGGAAGAGATAATCGCTCAGATTCTAGGGAAGACGGCAGATACCTCTGCACAGAAGGCACCACGGCCTTCGGGAGGAGATGGACGGACTGACAGCCGGCCGACTGCGAGTCGGATGACTGAAGGTCGACAAGCGGAAGGAAGGCCAACTGAACGGCGCGTTGAACCGGATAGCAGGCCGGAAGCAGAAGAGAGTTTGGCTGACGAGCCAACAATCCTCAGAGGGTCGTCTTCGGCGGAAGGCACTTCTGGAAGAACGCCACCAACAAGCAGGCCAAGTGGAGTCAAGACGCGCAGGGTGTATCCGACTCCCAGTCGGACAACTGCTGGTCGGCCGACTGCGAGTCGGACAACAGAGAGTCAGCCGGATTCGCCGACTGCGAGACGGATGGGGCCAACGACCAGTGTGCGAACGCCTTCGGCGGACGCACCTTCAGCAAGGACACCTTCCGCGCAGATTGCGCCGGAAGGACAGGCA